GTTTGTATGTGTGTCAGTGTCTTGTGCATGTGTGTTTGTGTGTGTGTGCATGTTGTGCAAGTGTGTGCATGTTGTGCACATGCATGCTTAGAAAGAACCCACTCCCACAGCCACAAGGACACCTCTGAGGCCAACTCACATCGCAGGCCCTCACCCCTCTCTCTATTGCTCCCTTCTAGACCATCCTCGTGGGCGACAGTGGTGTGGGAAAGACGTCTCTGCTGGTTCAGTTCGATCAGGGCAAGTTCATCCCCGGCTCCTTCTCGGCCACTGTGGGCATCGGATTCACGGTAAGCACTGGCCAACACTGCCAGCTCTGGGCCTGGGCTCAGGACTCCAGCGTGTTTTTGCCGAGTGCCAGCAGGAAACAGGTGGACACTCGCATTGGATCATTCAAGGAGGATTAAGGAGAAGACTGTTCCCCAAGGTGTAGGAGGGTGTTGGGTGACCAGGAGGGAGGGTACACTGCCCCTGGGTAGTCCAGGAACTCCACCCACCTCTAACCTCAAGCGGGAAGGGAAGGTACCCTCACCAGAACCCAGGGACAAAGCGGGCTGCTGGGTGAGCTGCCTGGCAGGAGCTGTATGGGACCTATAGTGGAGGGACACAGTAGCCCATGGGAGCCCCCCAGGAGGCAGCCAGGAGAACAATCCCCTGTCCCACCTTGCTCTCCTCCTGCTCCCCATCTCCTTCTGGGGCTCCACACTGGATGAACGCAAGTGGAAACCAGAAAGCAAAAAATAGTTTAATATGGGATAGCTCAGGTCAGTCCTCCAAGGCAAGAAGATCCTGGAGGGACAGAGGGACGACAAAGTTTTCAGCACAGTCCAAACTTAGCATTGTCACACGGGTCTCAGGGAGCTGGCAGGCCAAGGTTACAGTTCCGTGTTTACCCCTCAGTAAAATGGTAAAAGGGCAGCTTGGGTTAAGGAATCCCAGCACGCTCGGCTTTTTCTGCGGGACAGGCCCCTCTGCGGGACAAGAGATCCCTCCTCTCTACCATACACCCCATCTCCCCGCATTGCCCCGTGCCTGCGGCTGCAGCTGCCCTTGAATTCCTGGGAAGACCTTGGGAGAGGGTTCCAGTCCTCTCTTGGACTGTGGCAGGAGGAGCAGGGCCCTCCCTTGGGACCCCAGAATCGTAGCATCTTGAGATGGGGAAGAGCAAACATCTCTTCTTGGACAACACGGATGTTTGGGAGCCTCTGGGACTGGAGCACAGGGCCTGCGAGGTCACATTCAGGGTCAGTACGCAGCAGTGCCACGCTGATGGGAAGAGACAGAGGAAAACCCAGAAAAATGGGCTTTCCCACTGGGTCACAGCCAGGAAGGCAGGGGTTCAGAACGGACATGGCTTCTGGGTGACCTTCCAGGAGGCAAAGCGGAAGTGAGTGCCTGGCTCGGGTGTGTTCTCAGGCCTAGAATCGACCCTGAAACACCAGTGCCAGGGGCTCTCCCCCGCCATGGGACCAGCTGGGCTCTGGTAGTGCTAAATAGAGCAGGGCTGAGACCCACGAGGCCAAGGCTGCCTGGCAATCCCCGTGGTCTTGGACCAGGCTGCCATGAAGCAAACCAGGATGACCTGGTGCCAGGCGTCACCCACCTCAGCCCAGGCCCAGTCTGCCCTCAGCAGCCAGGGCACACCCTGCCCTCAGGGTCACACCCACATCTCTTCACCCACCCTTCTGCCTGTCTGGTGAGGAAGGAAAGAGAGTGGGTGGATGTGGCTGTGGACATGCAATGTCTGATTCACATTCCACAGACCACAGAGGTGAGATCTCCGAATTTTGCTGCTAGCTTGGCAAGAAAATTGGGGCCAATTTCCTGTGAAGGAAAAAGAAAGTGCGTGGTCAAACTGTGTGCTCAAAGCTGCCTGAGATGGGACAAGCTGGGCTTTCCCACTGACCTCAGGCTAGGGTGGGCCTCCTAGAGCCTGGGCTGCCTGCTTGGCACCAGCCAGCACCTAATGTCCTGGTGCATCTCAGGACAAACCTGTTGGTTGCTTACGCTGAGTGAGGGTCTGAGCCCCTGGCCAGAAATTCAGCCTGGGGACACCTGAGCAAAGAACTGGAGGACATCGGGGTCTCCTCCAGATATCAGCGGTCTGGGGGTCCCCGGAGAGCCAGGTTATCAGACACTTGTTCACCCATCTGTCCTTCACACTGAGGTTTGAGATATGACATGGATAAGGGCCCTG